TAAAGAAATAAACCATCCTTTCTAGTGATAGGTGCTATATATAGATAGGACTAGAGAGCTCTTCCTTTTGTAGTACCTATGAGGGAGCTCAGGACTTCTTTTCCCTTGCAAATTTGAAAAGTGAAATGCAACCTGCTCTGTTCTGTTTTCCTTATTTTCCCTCACTGGCAAAAAAATCCTTCGCTGCTGTAAGTTATTAGCAGCAATGTTAGACTAGAAGATAGGAGTCAAATCTAGTTGGTCAGCTGAAACGGTGTCCCTCACAGCTTTCTGGACAAGCTTTTCTTGTGGTGTTCTAGAGAGCTAGGTGGCGTCTGTATTGTATCAGTCCTTCAACTGTAACCTCTATGTGTGTGTAAACACGTGTTGTGATGCGTCTGTTTCTGATGACTCTAAATTGAGGTCACCAGTGTAGTTTTTGGATGGCTTTGCGTGCCTCATAAACGTATTGGCACACCTTGTGAAAGCATGCGTGGGGCTGCTCTTCTGTTGGGGCAGTTGTTGCATGCAGTGGCTGTGTACTTACCCATTGGTTTCAGCTTCAGCTAATTTTGGGTTTGTTTTTTTTTTTAATGTGGTTCACCTTCTTTTTAAGCGTTTCTAGAAGGCAAGCCTAGGCTGATGTTACTTAAAACTAAGCTTTATTTACATTAAGAGAAGCTCTATCACTCTTTACTATGTTGTATATAATAGTATCAATGTGGTAGCTTGCTTGCAGTAAAACTTTAAAAGTCAGATTACTGTTTCTAGAAAATATAACTATAATTGAACTGAATCTGGCCATGACCAACACAGAGAGTCTATTGTACATGTGTGTGTATATATATAAAATGCGCATTTTCTTATTTAAAAAAAAACTTGTGCATTATTTATCCAGCTTTCTGTTGATAACACTGTTCTTTATTTTTCTGTAAACATTTCTTTAACTCCTCTTTCACAAGCTTTGTAGTGCTTTTCTCCTCATTCCTTCCAAGTCCAGGCTTTTACTTTGTCTTTAACAGCTGTCAGTTCTGTCGTGGGGTACCTGCGGGTCTGCCCAGTGCATGCCCATTGGAATTTGTTCTGGGGTGGATTATACCGAAGGACTTTTCCTGTCCTGTATCTGGCTAAATGAAGTACCAAATGGGACATCAATTTTCAGTTCATCTGACTTCTGTTTTAAATTTTCAGTGTGCTTTAAGCTCTAGGTTTCCTGTACTGGTTTTGGCGTGTATTTTAGAAACCTCTTGGCTTCGGAGTAATCTGTCCATTTCTCCTTCCCTTATCCCAGAGCTCACTCCTAGGTGTAGTTTGTCTATGCTGAAATACCAGGACCTGCCCTTAGGGTGATACTCAGACAAATGCCAAGAAATCTTTCCTGCCAGCAGCCATTTGATTGAAACAGGATATGAAAAGCTGTCGTCATAGCTGCTTATGCTACCAACAGCCATATCTTGGAATTCTCACAATTAAAAAGATCTGCCTCTTGACTCAATAACTTTTGCAGCCTTACATTTAGAGGAATGGTAGGGAGGGCAGACTGTATTTTGTATTCTAAGCCAAGTGGCAGGAAATGTCATACTTGGTACAGGCAAGTGATGGTGTGGATATATGCTTGAAAATAGGAATATTTTCTGCTAAACTATTAAGCATTTGAATTTTATAATTTTGAAATCAAGTGTGTATGGGTAAAACAAGATGAACAGCCTCCGTTATGTTTAAAAACTTGAAGAGGTGCACCTCTAAATAAGAGCTCTTTATTTATAAAGTAATATTTATGGACTGCTTAATTTACTTTTACAGATCTTTATATATCTACCTAAGCAAAGCTTGAAAAATGCATGCAGCAAATTCCTTAATATTGTTGTTTTTCTTTTGAAGGTTGTTAAAGGAGATGGGCTGGCAGGAAGATAGTGAAAATGATGAAACATGCGCTCCACTAACGGAGGATGAGATGAGGGAATTCAAAGTCATTAGCGAACAGGTGATTCTAAGCTAATGTTCTGTTATGAACTTGTACGTGAATGTCCTTAATACCTGTCTTGTGAGGGACCTCCAGTAATTTTGATGATTACATACCACTTGATCAAGACTGACGTTTCAGTTTTGTGGGATTTTTTAGTACCGGTTGTCAGGTAGATGGGGAGTGGGATGCCCATCCTTCCTTCCTCACCCCCTTCATCTTTCCAGACACAGCCCCCTTTAGTAGCAAAGTTTGCAGGAGGCTAGAAAAAAGGGGTGTTGTATCACGGGAGAGACCATGTAGGAGTGGTCACTGGGGCAAGGAATCTGAGGAAGCAGAAGAGGATAATGCTGTTGTTCACTGCAAGAGCCCAACTTAGCACGGTTGGAGGTTCTTGGATACAGGCAGCTGATCAAGAAGTTAAGGCACCCAGATGTATATAGTTTGTGTACATATGTGTAAATGGTAGTACCGTAGACTTACTGTAGCTCATAGGTGAAGATACAGAAAATACTGAAACTTCATTGTTACTTAGCTGTTTATCTCTCTAAAAACTTCTTTTTTTTCAGTTACAAAAAAATGGCCTTCGGAAAAATGGTATCTTGAAAAACGGCCTCATCTGTGACTTTAAATTTAGCCCCTGGAAAAACAGCACTTTCAAACCTGCTCTGGAAATTGAGGATTCTGAGACGAGCAGCAGCGATACATCAGATGATGATGATGTGTGAAGATTTCTCTAACATCTGTAGAAGCTCTTTTTGATCTCACGAATATTTTGGGGGTGTATTGTCCAAAAAAAAAAAAATCTAATTTATGTAGTAATATCCCCCATTAGAGAAAGAATGATGGGACTTCTCTCCGAAGAAAGCAAGGAGTGTTGTGTTGGGTGTGTTGAACATTACTATAATTTCTTTGTAAACGAATGTTGTAGAATGAGAACTTGGGTTGACTCAGTATTGGCTTTCTTCAGCACTGCAGCATTTCTGACTAGCAATGTGACAATGTAACAAATCAGACCTTCTCATTTAATAATAAAAACAAAAGAATTGTGTAATGTCTTGCAAAGCTTCTGTCTTAAAATGTCCAAGTCTATGAGGAAAAAAGGGGCAATTGATACAGTGTTTTGCTTGCCAAGTCTTTCTCACAATAGAAATCCTCAGATTCGCTTTGTACACAACAAGAGCAATGTAGCATGTTGGCTAAAATGAGCAAAGTGCACTAAAACTCTTTTCCTTAATTGAGCCGTTGTACTGTTCTACTTTTTCCACACGTAATTGGTCTTTAGCCATTAGTAGTGTAGTTATTGTTACAGGAAAAAAGAAAAAAACACGCTCATGTTACAGTTCCAAATTTGAAGAACTAACTTTTAATTTGAAGGCTTTATGGGGTAAGGGAAGACCCAGTGTTCCTGCAGTGAACATATGTGTGTGGGAAGGTAAGCACTTTGATAAACTATTCACACGCAGAAAAATAATTACATTGACTGTGGATTTGTCCACTACATGGGAAATAAACTGATTTACTGAGTATTGTCTCAGTGCCTAGCATCAAAGGTATTGGTTTTTTAAATAAGTAGTAATTCTTGTTTGCATTTGGATTAACTGTACTCTGGCAGCAGTCATTGCATTTCAGAAAAAGTATTTTTATTCCCAGATCATGCCTTTATAGTAATGTTAGTGTATGTATGCAGTAAGCACTTTTTTTTTAGTTACTTTGTGTAAAACTTTGTTTTTCTTATCACAATTTTTGAGCTAATCTTGTGTTATGTAGTTTTATTTGGTTCATTTTAACTTTGAATATTTTCTCTAAGGTTGTATAAATGGTGCATAGAAGTAATCTGTAAGCACAACTGCTCTTGGTGATGTTATATACTTTTTGAACATTGGCTTATTCCCTCCTCAGAATATGTTTGAACAACACTTTATTTTTTTCAATGTAAAATATCAGCAAAATATTTATAAAGGTGAGGTTCTTTTTTTAGGAAAAGATTTTTTTTTTATATATGGTGGCATGTAAAATTTGGGACAAGAATGTGAAGTGTGTAGGCTTTTTTAGGGATCTTTTGTGTCTGTTTTTTTTAATAGGTTTCTCTTAAGACATCTCTATTTGGAACAAGCATGTAAGTGCTGGTATAGTTAATTCTGGCATTGCATATCGGAATATTATGCTGTGCTCTTATGTAAACTAGAAAGGATAATGATCTTTTTTAAGGGAAAGCTGTCATATCAGTAATGATGTCTTAAATACTTGTATGCCTTGCAGATCTTATCCTCCCTTTCTCCTTTTCCGTAGTGTGTTTTGTTTTTGTTTTAACTTCATCTTGATGCAGTGTGTTTCTGTTCTTCCTGTTTCATCGTCAATAGGGCCTTCTGCCTATCTTGGTGGTATATAAATGCACTCATTTTGCTACTAATTGAGAACTTTCTTGCTTTAGCATCTCCTAAAGTGGGGCATAGACTTCAGTATTTTTGCATCTTCAGTGACAAATCACCTCTTTCCATCCTTTGAGAAGATTCTATAACTGTAGAACACTTTAAGCTTATGGACTTGGGAAACTTGCAGGTTTCAATGGAGAATATTCTGTGTAGAGAAAATGGAAATAACATTTGTACTGTTTCCGCATGTAGAGAAGCGGAGAGTCCTCTTATGCTAGTTCAAATACTGGTGTCAAGGTCCTGCATAACCCTTAACTAAATAGTTATTCACCCACTCTCTTACTTAGTTTGCCCCTTGTTGCGGTGAGAAATAGAAGTGGGGAAACTTCGATCTTCTTACTAAGGAGCTGAAGAGTCTTGTATCATAGCTAGTTATGGGAAAGGTGAGTAATGCATTGGGCCTCTTCTTTCCTTATTGAGAAGCACTTTCTTCACTCACTGAGGAATGCTCATCAATTTTCTGTTGAGTTTTCACCTTTGATTTTCCTGGGAAATGCCTTCGAGCCCTTGTTGCCTTACTAACTTGCTCACGAGTTCGTCAGAAATCCTCTTCATGTTTAGTCATTACCATACATAGAGACACCAGTTTAAACCACTTAAAGTTCATTTTTTCTTGTCTTCTTTCCTTAAAATATATGAAGACAATCTCTTGCCCCATCCCCCTTCACTTTACTTGGTGCGTGAATGCATAAGCAGAGCTCATTCCCTAGTAGGTAACAATTCAATTTTTCCATCTTTGACTTTGGTTATTCCTTTGCCAGAGCAGTTTAATTTTAGCTGATCATCAACCATCCTTTCCTGTCTTCCCTGTATTATGATCCTTTTCCTGGATATGTCTTTTTTCTTCAAAAGAACGGCTGCCTTAAGGCTTTTAAAAAAAATAGTTGTACTAAGCTTTTTTTTTTTTTTTTTTTTTTTAAGTGAGCTTCTAGCATTACTCTGATATAGTTTCAGTGCTTGATCTAGAGAGTTCAACTTTAATGGAAGTAATCACTGAGTGTTGTGTACGGACTTGGTGGTGATGGATGATTTGCAGTGGTAATCACTGCAATTTTTCTTCTCTATCCAGCCTTAGATATGTTCTGTATCCTCTCGGCTCCCCTTCCCATCCTCCTTTTGAAGGGAAGAATCTTAAAATTGGTCACCAATTCTTTGAGCAGTTGGTGATGAGGGATATGCCCTCTTGCCTGTCAGTGGTATGAAGGGTACTTTGACTTACAGTAGGGGAGCTGTGGCTCCTCGTGTCTTGTCTAGAATGAGATCTTTCTCATCAGTGTGTGTAAAGCAGTAAGAGAGGCTACAAACAATGCTGATTATAGTAAAGTCCATTGATGCTTGTTGGACCCAGTCAAAATTCTGCAAACTTTTCTGCCTATAAACCTAGTCTTTGATAAATACTACCAAGTACAAATAAATACTAAATACTACCAAGTATGGAGGAAATTGAATTGTGTTCTAAACAATTGCATCTGGAAAGAAAATCCATATCTACTATTTTACTTTATTACTTAGTTTTGTACCTTCTGCTGTTCGTAAGTAGAAAGTACTGCTCTGACACTAAACTCAGTGTTTGCCAGCAGCTTCTTACATTGCTGTGTTTTGTGCAGATTGGATCCTCTGATGGAGATGGGGAGTAGCTTTGCATAGTGTGATCTTAAAGGGTTTATGTGGAATGGGCTGCTTTAATTCCTGTAATTCCTGAGAGCATGTTTGCTCTTTAAGCTTGATTATGTTTATGACTTCCTTGGACAGCCTCTTGGTATGCAGCTATTTATTCCCCTGGCAAATGTGTAATTGCTGTAGAGGAATGGCAGTTGCTTCCATATTTGAAGAGCAGAGGCTGATTTAGTCCTGTCCAGATCAAGGATCCTGCTTTGCCTATGGGAGAGTACTCTCAGCAAGTGCTGTGGTGGTTGGTGTCTGGGTAAGTATCTCCACATCAGTATGATGGAGCTCAGGGCTATATGAGGGAAAGATTCCTGGTTCACGTGATAATGAGTGCACTGCAGAAATTCAGAAGTAAAGAAATGCAAACTCCTTCCAGTATTCAGGAAGAAGGCAAACTTAGTAGGTTTTAATGTATCCTATCCTACCTTAAATATCTCTTCTCATTGATCTCCAGTTTTATTTATGCCTTTACCAAATACTGGAGCTGAAGCATTACTTGGTAGACAGCAGTGTTGGAGTGGCTGTTTGTGTGAAGGACTCTGCGTTGCTCCATTACAGCTATATCGTGGTGCTTTGGAGTCACCCAGTGAAGACAGGTGTATGAACAGCCCTTAAAAGAGAGGTTTCCTCATGGCAGGCTGCTTTTTGAGACATGTTGTCCACATGTGCGCTTATTTCCTATCCTCCTTTTCTTCAGTGTCTCTAGCTAAACAGTCACTTAAGGTCCTGCATTTCTGGAAACAGCTGGAGATGTGTAGATGTCTTATGTGTGGATAAAAATTACCAAGTTTTGACTGATCTGCATGCATGGGCACACATACACAAGGGAACGCTTTTAGAAAATAAGTTGTTACTACTCTTGCCACTTACATAGCTCTCGGTATCTTTGGTGACTCTCCTTGTGAGTACGCAGGTTCTTCCCTGTCCAGGATACACCATACAGGATACCGATAGAAGGGCTTTCTCATCAATTGTCAAATTTGTTTGTTTTTCTGTAGCATTGCTTTAGATAATGAGATACTGTTCTGGTGGCAATGTTTGAAATGAACTGCTCCACAAGGAATCAATATACATTATAAGTAGCCTGCCTACTGAATCAAGCCACTGTTAGTGCTAAGTTGCAGCTTTTGCTGTGAAGCATTTTGTAAAATAGTTTTATCTACCTTGGAAAGCTGTTTCACAAAGAAGCTTGAGTATGATGTAAAGTACACAAATATTTTACACCAGCTATTCACGTGAGCACTCTGCTCTGAGTTACTTTTTATGGTTTATTTTGTCCACTTTTGAAGTAGTCATTGTACAGAGTAAAATCATTTGACTAGTTAATTGGTTATTAAATTCTGAAAATGTGGGACTATCTCCATGTTCCAGTTTAGCTATAAATAGAATAGTTTAATTGAAACCTGCAGTCAATGATATTTTGAATTTAGTAGATGTTTCTGAAAATGTTTGTGCTAAATTTATGACTTTGGAGAAAGTAGATACTTTTATGGGCTAATCACAAGAATGTGAAGGTTAGTTTATCTTGGTTAAGGTTTCAGTACAACAGTACCAAAGGTACTTACGAGGAGGCCAGTAGTAGTTTTGCGTTTTGCACAGGTTAGGCATTTGTTAGGTAAGTAAAGGCAAACTACAGAATAAGGAAGACATGCTTTCAGGTGAATGGTCTGTGTTTGTATGGTTAAAGTGCATGGCTGCAGGGGTCGGAGGACTGCACAGGCTTATGTTACCTTGCCTTCTCTCAAGTTGTCCGTTTCTTATCTTGCAAGTGCTTGGCCGTTGCTTTGTTCCTTTCTTCCTGACGGTGGTCCTGGGTTGAGAGTTTGTTGATAGAAGGAGAAAATCAAGATGGAAAAATGGATTAGGGTAAAGGGCTAGAGCTTCTGTAAAGGCCTCACAGAATTTGGGAGTGACCCCCAGAACAGTCCTGTGAGGGGAGGGTTGAAGACACATTCCCAATAATCCCAGTGCTGTAGAAACACTCGTACCTGAAGGGTGCACCATTGCCAGAGTAGGGCAGAAGGGGGCAAAAGGCCAGAGCTCTCTAAGGAGATGAACAAATCAAAAAAGTACATGCAGCCCGTACATGCAGCTTAACTTGTGCATTGGCCAGGCAGCTACAGTGTGGGTTGATCTGTATTTTTCTGTAGGAAATACGTATTTCTTGCTTGGCTTCCATTTAACATTCTAAAGATGTATCTTCTCATGTT